GTCTGGACGGAGATCGACTCGACCACGCACCTGAAAAAACCAGACAAACCAATGTAAAGCATGAGGTGACGCTCGAAAACGTCGCCGACCTGCGCATCGATGCAGCGTCGGGTGCCAGCAGTTGAAGTGCCGAACCAAGTGAATGATTTCGAACTTTTTGTTCAGTGATATGATGGCGTTACACAAGCCGCATCTTGCATGTATCTTATCCACCAACGCCACAGGAACATGACGGCCGAGTTTCTCGAACCTTAACAGGAAACACGAAAAGGAGGCAACGCGTGAAATAACAGAAATCTTTCGCAAATGGTCATCACAAGCCAAAGGTCAAATGCAACATACATCTTACGACGTAATGCAACGTCCAACTGCTCGATGGTCATGTCCCGCGGGTTGACGCGAATCAACGATATGTTTCTTCTAGGTCGACGATTTGGCGCCGGCGGTTTTGGAGCTCTAGCTGCCTCCTTGTAAGCCATCATTTTGAACCCGGTTTCCATATCACGCTGCTCGGCTTGGAGTTTCTAAAGAAGCCCGTTATTTGTTACAAAAATCTCAACAAGCAAGAATAGCCAAAACTTACCTTTTGCCATTGTTCAAAAGGAACCGCCCTGACGGTCGAAGTGTCTCCGCGAAAAACATTCGGGTGATTCTTTGGCAAATGGTCATCGATCAACTGGTCATAAGGTATTATCTCCCCACAAAGTCCGCAACAGATGTTTTTATTGTCCAGAAACGAAAAATCAATAGCCTGGATCCTCTCCTAAAACCTCATTAATAATACAGGCGAGATAATTTTGACTACTTTAAAATATGTAAAGTAAAAACTGCTTGAATGGAAACAGATTACCAGCAGTCTAACCCATCGCTTTGTCAAATTACCTGTCGTAATATAACCTTTAAGAAATATGCCATATCCTCGACTATCATAAAGCTGATTAAAATGCATATGGATAGCACGAGGAAAGAAACTAAAATGACAACGGGCTGAAAACCTTGTGGAAACAAACGGCTAATGCTAGACATGAAAGTTCTCGATTTAGTTCCAAGTAAAAAAAAACAAAATATACGCGGTATATATCCTCTATTCAATGAACTATCGACTATAAAACAACCTAATATACGGAAGATTAGAGAGGATCCGAGCAATCCACTACTTCTTTCAGGTTCACAGCCAAAATAGCTCGTGTCAAAGATTAAACGACTTTGCATTTCAGCAGAATACCTCGCGTTCGTCCTTCTGAGGCAAATAAATGCTTACGAATGTGCGAAGGAAGTAAAAAGCTATAGGCTACAGTGGATACCTTAGTTATAAATTAAAGTCGAGTTCACAAATATGGCAACCTCATTTACGAGAGTGGGAGGCAAATCAGCATCGTACCATAAACTATATGAAAAACTGACAAGAATAACGAAAGTATATGATAAACCGCATTCTTGCTGTTACAAGCTCCATTTTCTGTTTATGCTTGCAACTGGCTATTTCCCTTCTACTGCAGGGGCAAACACTTTAATAATCTTTTAGATGGCCATGCGGGAAGACTTCAGGGTGTGTTCACAAACGAGAGGCAAGACAACTGAAATTGTGGAATATATTCGACTTATCTGGTTGAACTTATTTGATGTCCGGCAGAGGGGCGAAAAGATGGGGGAAAAACTGAAGTTACTACTCTCGAAATCCAAAATTAATAAGATGTACACAATGAACGAAAAACTCTGTACTGTGCAGACGACGTTCTAAAGTTTCAACATTAGTATTAATTATTAAGCATACGCTGACTATGATATGCTCAAAAGAGTGTACAGTTTCGATGGGTAGACCAAAATTTGACAGAAATGAGTAAAGAAATGTTCGTGTTTTAAAGGTCTTATGCACTTCCTGGTAAGTTGTTTCGCAGGTGAGGTCAAACCTGTACGAAAACATACCAAAATCCTCAGAAAGGCAACTCAGCCTGCTTTCGAATCAGGCAAAGAGAAGAGGAGGCAGCTGGGGAATTAGGTATCGCTAGGGAGCATTCACCTGTGAGGGCAGAGAGGGCGAAAAAAAGAAGAAACTAATAACCGACCAGAAGAGTAAAGAGGCGATGATGAGAAAGGAAGTTAGCAGCTATAAGAAGTGTTTTCGAATGCATGAAAATGCATCTAGGGTCATGCCTGTGCAAAAGGGTATCATCCTGGATAAAAGTGGCAAAAATGAGGTTTATACAAAAAACGGCTCGTGTGATGAGGTTCAGCATGCTTTGGAAGACGGAAATCCAACACACCGCTAATCGTAAACCATTCTTGTCCTGGTCGAGAAATCGTAGTTAGTATTTGAGGGTTTGATCAGGATGCTGAAGGAGAGACTAGCAAACCGAGCTCTCATGGCAAAGCAGCCAAGAACTAAACAGGAAGCCATTTGGTTTCCAAATGGCTCAATAATATGGAGGGAGGACCTTACATTATCGCGCTTTGGAATCCAGCCCATGGAATTTTCCCGATTGGTTGACAAGGGACAGAGACCACTGGCAAAAGCACTGAAGTAGCTGTCCAACAATCCGAAGAAAACAGTGCGCATTGCAGATGAATGAATACAATGGCAAAATATACCAACAGCAACAACTTATTACAGATACGTTGCCGAATGTTGAGGGCACTAAATCATAGATATAGACACGTTTATTATCAACGCGCTTAGCAACACACTCCACAGCATCGTCAAGATATAACTGATTATCAGGCTGCTAGCCGCCTTGCATAAACAGAATGCGTGGATATAACGTGATTGATTGAGTGGCACCAGATTTCAACCATCAAATTCATAACTTTAAACTTTAGAATTTAATCTCAGCTATTCATTTGATGTTTCCATATTTTCTTATCAAGTTTGTAATACCCAGCCCAGCTTTCGCAAATAACCAGAAAGGATGACTATTCATTGCGTTCTATCCAGAAAAACATGTTAAGTTCCATTACTTACCGTCAGTTCCAATTTTGGAGCCACGTTTGGCCGCGCTTTCCTCTTAGCGCTTCTTACAGAAACTCTAAGCACCTGCTGAAAAAGAAACTTCGTCAGATTACAATTAAGTATAAAAATTTAGAGGTATGAACAAGTAACCTCTGACTTGCGGCAGCCCTAAACTTGTCTTTCTTGGCAGCTACCCAAAAATATCATCGTAATATTTGTTATAACTAATTAATAAGTTAACTTTCTTGAGTCCATCAGTTACAAAAATAATATATTAGCTCTCCGTCAGAACAAAGCAGAAGAGCGCAAGTCGTTCTTACCGCTTACTTATAGCAATATATGGATACCCGATAAGACATCGTATATATGGATACCCGATAAGACATCGTATATATACATATATGCACTGTCGCCAACGATGCTCAGAGTGGGTCTACTTACAAGATTTCCCCAGACATTGACAATGAGATGCATCTTTCAGCAGCAGATATTCGCATATCAAGGGTTTTGATCTATTTAGAATGTCAAGGCACCTGGGAACAGGCAGATGGTGCAGCAAGCTGAGAAACAATTTGTAGTTGCGCTAGTTAACATTCCATAATGCAGAGTTCAGGATTTTTTGACCTATTGTAAAATCACACAGAAGGCATATCAGCTAGCGAAACAATCGTACCGGTTTTGCCAAGAAAATAATGTTTCAATGCCTAGTAGATGCTGAAATACCATGGAGCCGTTATATGCTTAAATGGGACCTTCTTCTAGGCATCTGAGAGACGTCTTACAGTAACCTGAATATCGGTTGAATTAAAGTGTTCCACGCTTTTCAATACCCACTAAAAACAGTACCGAAAATAGGCTTATAGCCTGGATAAAATCTTTATTCTAACTTGTGACCATTCAAAACTCCAGAAGATGACCCCTTGTTAATGTGCAACAATAACTCTATTGCATTTTGCTTCGCTACTAATACTGTATGACAAAAATTTTGCCCAGACTTTAAACCATACCAATTTTGGATCTGATAAATACCTGCATTAGCCGTTATGCCATCCATTTCGGAGTTTGTTGAAATCGTCATTTTGGACTGTTCCATAAGCCGGATGTCTTTGGTTTGTGATGTCCGCTGTGTTGGCCGTTTTACAACACTTTTGCTATATGGCACAACTTATTAAATTGCAGAAGGAAATATTTCTTTCGGAAAGCAGATTTGCCTTGACCTTGTTCCTCCATGTTGCATGCTGGCCTCCTGGTGTATCTGTCGTGTTTCGGCTCACATGCGTCAGGTTCACGGGCTGGAGGTAAGTGGTGTGTAGTCAAAGTATAGTCAACCACTTTTCCAAACAGGACCAACTTCATTTTCTTAATCTCCACATCTACAGAAGTCGCCTCTGCCCGGAACAGAACAGTCATTCCTCCAATGCTCAAAAATACTGAAGCTCGAATACGACGTTCCACGTGAAACAGTCGAATATATTCTTCAGTACAAACAGTTAGCCCACGTTCATACACGTACTATTCTGGCGTGGCTGCACAGTGTTGAAGCGGTGTGACTAGAACTGCAGAAGTGTCGGATACGATTGCGAACGAAGATAATTTTGTTTTATTCAGGAATTCTCTTGAGCAACGAATTTACATGCTGCATCAGATCGGAGTTGCTCAGGCTGTTGTGCGTGGAACTCAAAACCAATAGATCCTGGGTTCAAGCCTTGGTCGGGATCACTCACCCCTCTTCCTTCCGAGGTTGAAAAACGAGTACCACTCTGTAGTAAAGAAACAAGAGACTGCATGCAATACTTGCTACACAGCTGTAGACTCTGCTCTGAAAAACGGTAATAAGGCAATTCTGGCTGATCGCATAGATAACGGAGATTAACACTGCATCTTCAACTTCCAGAATGGCCTCATAATGGAGATTTACGGAAGACCGGCATTTCAAAGGTAACAAAATTTCCTTTTCACGTACTGTTGGAAATTTATGGAATAATAAAGAAAATAAAACGGGCGTTCAGCATTGTCGACATCCAGAGCCAAAATGAATTTTGTTCCTACCTTGTCCGACGACAGGGACGATGTGGTTGCAGTGTAAGAAGGGTTGTCCGACCAAGCTTGAGGATCTTAAACATTGAGAATTAGCGAGCAAACAACATACAGCTATGAAAGCGTTTCTCACCAGCTTCAACAACAATAACGTCAGGCTGCGATGTGCCATTACCCTGTGCCAAAGGCGACAGGTCCGATGAACGAAGAATTTTGAACCCTGCAACAGTGGCACAAACGTAAGGCATGAAAAAATACATACTGGATATATTTCTGATTTTTGCAAGGTCTAATAGAAGTTAAACCGACTCGGCTTACGCTTACTCGGTACTTGATTCGTGCTGCTGACTCGGCTGACGGGGACAGCGTTGTTTCGCTCCCCTGGCATGGCGCTGACGTCAAAGATCCAAATGTTTCATTTCCTGAAGTCATGGCTTAGTTCACAAAACAAGCATAAACGTACTGACACTGCTTGAAAACAAAACTACGCGGTTCAAGAAAATCAGGATCGCTTCTATCGCCTTCAAACCCACGGAATCGTTGTGAAAGCTTGCAGTACTACAGTAATCTTAATCATTGTGTGATATAGATATTTGCAATATCCCCAAAGAGAATGAACGAAAATTTTGTCGTTTCTCAGACACTTCTCACATCATTCGATACTCTTCAAATTTGAGCTTTTGTCTCTGTAGGATGCAATATTTTCGGTTTAGCATTTCGCATCTCTGTGGGCGAAATGTGTAATGCCATTGATCGGTGTACTTCAAAGAAATGTAGTGCCATTAATGGCAAAACTAACTTTGGGTCTTAGCGTTTGAAAAATTCAAAAGATAATATTATTTTATCTTCATTGTGGAGTGCTATTTAGCTATAATTTTAACTGCATTATTCTTTTTTCCATTAGCTGTGTGCAAAATTAACATCTGCTAAAAATTTTGCCAGAATATTAAAAGTTCTCAAAAGCAGCACGTTGCAAGGTTGTTTGTCACCATGTCAAAAGTATATTCATAGCAAGTAATATCCATACGCGCAATTTAAAACTGCCTCAGATAAACTGCGCACTGACTGGTGCTAATTCAATTCAAATTCAATAGTTGCTATGGAATGTTCGTTTTAAAATCTTGCATTTCTTATTAAATTAGAAAACAGACTATGAATTAAAGTGCATGAATATTTATTAAATGCGTGTATTGGCGATGCTTGAGGACGGCCAATTTTGTGAATAATTGTTTAAAATGCCCTAATACTATCATCCATTGAAACTTTCCCAACCAAAGTCGTAACCAAGTAAAAGCTCTCATCTAAACAGCATGCGGTATGCAGCAAGTCTGACTTTCGCAGATGGTTCACCACCTTGAAATGCAAAATCGTTACGGATTTTGCTCTAGGTCAAACAGTGGTCTCCCTCTAAATGAATGCAAGCGAAGTGATAGTAACTAAGTAAATATAACCAAATTTTGTATTTTCCAATTAAGTCGGGTTCTAAATCTCCTTGAAACATTTATTTGAAGAGGACCTACGGCTTTATAGCCTGCGTTTTTGGCAAACGGTTGACAGAAAAATGTAGACTAACATCAAATGAGTGTGCCATCACGATAGAATTGCTAGCGTATGTCGAAGAAGATGCAGAATTGAGATTGTTTAAGAAATCAGGTATTGTTTTGAATTTTCATGTATATATCTACATATTTTCTCATTTCTGGGTAATTTGTTAACAGGTAGTTACCTTTTCCATCGCGACATTTATTTTCCTACGGGATTTGACGTTCCTTTCTTCATATTTACTTAAGGAGATCATCGATGCAGGTGGCAGCTACAAGACTTGCAGAGCTGCGTATACCTTGCATCATTTTGTTTATTAGAGCAATCTTCTACCCATCATGAACGATATTTCAATATTCATTGCTCAATATGTGCGATAACGCAATTTATCCATAAGCTTGGGCACCCAGAAGCGCGTGTTCAGGGATCCTTCACCATTTGACACCAACCTCAGGACTGAAATGTGACACATACACGAAGCGTTTCAGAAGACACTAACAATGCATTTAATGTTTAATATGTCGAAACGTTCTGCATAAGTAGGCTTAATTCTAGTCAATTTCGCATACTTTTTATTGAAGGTAAATCTGGTGAACATACGATTGCCTTCAGAGAAAAGATTCGTTATTCTTTATTTAGAACCTTCGATGCTGAAGAATTCTGTTACATAACTAACAATGAACCTTGCTGAAAGGTCGAATAATTGATCGAAAGTTACATGTGTGCCGAAATATAACTGTAAAAAACATTTTTCTGCTGAACTGTGCAGAAACACACTATGCGACATAGGTGAACCTGAAAATCACTTGTCGATGCCACTAAAAATTGGAACGCTATCAGTATATATTCTGCCGGCAACTATCCCGTTAATTCAGTGCTGATTAAACGCTATGGATCAGCGTCTATTGACTTTTTGTAGCCTTCTACTCGTTGCTGTCGTCGCAGCCGATAACAGCTTCAACAAGGAGGAGTTAGCAGCTAAGATCATCTTCGGCCTCAACAGAGTACGCAACCGGTTCTTCCTCAGCAAATTGATCAGGGTTACGTCAATCAGAGCAGAGAACTCACCCAGAGGTACAATTGCCCATTTGGACGCTTTCATTGGCTCAACTGATTGCACAGTATCAGAGGTAGGCATCTAATTTATTATCCTGGAGTTAAAACGGATTTTTTTCGCTTAAATTATCAGCGAACGAATCACCAAAACTTAGAAAAATCCAGTTTAAACACTTTGTATCAACTGTTGCTTAGAACGTTAAATTGTTTGAAAAAGTACGGTTGTTTGCTTGCAACAGAATCACGAGTTTCTGTGATTTTTAAAAGAAGCCTAGTTTTCGCTGCTAAATTTCACATAATTTGAACATCATAAACAGTTCCTACGTCCGAGGATACACCAAATAACGAGTAGCTCTCCAAGGACCAGATATCATGGGCTGTTAGACCATCTTCTTGATCCAATTTGCCTGGGAGGGGCATTGAATCAGAGTTCAGCATCTGGTTCTGTATATGTCAAATACAAGAGGGTGGTACATTTCAGAAAATACACAAATTCTAAAGTCTAATCGAACACTAGCTTCGATTTTTCTTTTTCTGACGTGTTCCGTTTTACCAGGGTTCCATCCTCCGGGTAACTCTCTGTACATTTTTTAGAGCAGTTTCATGTCGTTCTTTATGATGTCGTCCGCCCTTTACCTTTTCCTCACCTCTTTTTCTTTCTCGTCAGCTGTGCTGCCTTGAGAAAAACTTGAAAGTGCGAACGAAAATGTTTTATCTGATACGGATTACGGCAAAATGATGCATAAACGTTGAATCATCTTGCGATATCGCTGTTTATCTTTTTTCGCACATGCTTCACTTATATTTATCTAATTATTAATTATGTTATGTATCGATTATGTGAGATTATTGATATCAAATGTCATGCACATCTGTCTGACGTGTCTGCCTCCGCGACCCGAAAAGAGAAGCGGCGATGGAAGATGATGAAGATGTCATGCATTGAAATCTTCCGAGTATTTTGTGGCTTCCGCAAAAATGAAAATCCACTGACTATTCCCGCGAAACGGTTTAAATGAAATTCATATAAAGGCTTTATTGCACACGATTTTGCATGTTGAAAAGTTGAGATTAAAATTTAAATTTCTTGTATGTATGGCGAGCGCAGATCACGACCGAAGATGATCTTGAATGGAAACTACTCGTGTGAAGGACAAAAATAATTATACTGCTGATGAGATTATGCATGCAGAACAAGTGTCTGTAAACGAGCAAGTTGAAACAGCATAAAGTAGGCAATTAGCGAAACACAGTGACTTAAAACACGCGGCTGACTGACCACTGTGAGCGATCATTCTAATGAATTGTAACCTTTTACGTACTAAGAACCGACTCATAATACAGCTTTAAAATCATACGGATAATCGATGCTGTCCGCATGCTGAAACAAGTCATCATCAAAGAGCCTTGAACACCCATCGTTGGATTAGTCCATTAAGTACTTAAATGAGTCGTTATTATTTGCTAAAAAAAATATTTGTGCGAATGACGTCCTGTCCTTCGGGAAGCTTCAACGGTTGCTCTTTTTCTATCTCAGCTTATCGCTCGATCTTTCGTTTCAGTTGCGATTTTGCTCCCTGTCG